TCCCCTCACCTCAGCTCCTCATGGAGAAGAATTTACTCTGGACCTCAAGGCCAGACAGTGTAGGGGATCATGAGGTAGAAATGGCTTAAGATAATTTTGGTCTCTGGTACTGCTTGTAAGGAAACATTTTGTTAGATTTGCTGATATGCAAGACTGAGGTGATGTTCTTGTTAGACTTGAGGCTGCTGTTTGCAGAGGGCATAAGGATGGCAGCAGAAGGACTCCTGCCCTGGCTGTGCCATCTTCTGTTCAGCTGCATTTTGCTCCTTCTCACTGTGGGAGTTCATGCCAGTGTTGAGTACAGTAAGTTGCTGTGTTCCCAAGGCTCCCCTGCAGCTCTCTGAGGACCAAACTTCTGGGCCTCTCACAGGTGAGGAAGGCTCACAGCTCCCTTAGAAAGAGCCCTTGAGCATCTCTGTCTGGGCAGGAAGAGTTAACTCTTGTGCAGCCTTCATTTGTCTTGCCATTGGGCTGGAAGCCTCACGTGCTGCTGCTGCTGCTGAAGGTTCTTTGTGGTTTCCCAGGCTGGCTTCTGCCCTGGCTTCTTAGGCTCCTGTGGTGTTGATCCCCTTGCATCCCTGGCAAAGCACTGGCAAAACACTTCAGCCAGTAAGTTCTGTTTTGTGGACACAGGTGGGTTTAAAATGTAAAAAAGCTGTTGACCACCCTTCTTTTCCATGATTTTATTTTGTCATTTTTGAGGAAGAACTTGCATAAAAGAGAGCAGTAATGTAGTTCACTGGTTTCAGAAGGGTTGGTTATTCTTGACTTGGGGAATGGAAGAAGGCATTTCCTGCAGGGGAATTTAGTGGCCCAGTAAATGGATGTCAGCTGAGCCAGAAGGTGGGAAGGGTCTGTAAAATGAGGAAGAATGAGATTGTATATGGTGTGATGATGCATGAGCAGGAGACATAGCTGAACCTGAGTGAAGTAAGACAGAAAGCAGTTGGCCTGGTCTGCAGATGAATGTTCTTGTTTTGCTAAACATGATTCAGGTACCCTAATTTTCACAAGCTGTGGAATATTTCTTTCGTTATTAAACTCTTGATAAAGCTGAGTGGGGTGAGTGAATTTGGAGGAGAAGCACTGGGTGTGTGAAGGCATTAAGGATGTACTGGAGGAGCCCCTTACTTGTAGCCAGCAGCACCCTCTGAGACAACAATCTATCTGTTGTGGTGCAGATGGAGCTCTTGGAGTCCTGGACTCCTCTGGAGCCAGGAGCTGATGCCAGATTCAGGCAGGAAGATGACCAGGCTCAGGAGAGATGACAGACCGTGGGGTCTAAATGCCATCTGTGTATTGCATAGGACAGGGGCTCTCAAGGACTGTGTTCTCCTCAGTAGAAAATAGTTACCTCACTGAGAACCCAAACCAAAATGCAGATGTTCTGCAAATGCATGTATTTGCCCATTTATCAATAATAAATGTGTAAACCAGAAAGGTCAGCTGTGTTTAATGTCATGTGGCAGCTTTGTGATTTTAATTACAGTAAAAAACCCCAATGACAAATGAATTCAATGCTCTTTAGAGCTTGTTCCTTTCTGCTGCAGTTAGTTGTGTTTCCTTACCTGTGCTTGGGCAAAGTTGGGCTGCCTCTGCCATGGTAGAAGAAATTTTATTTAAATAAAGAAAAATGAGGTAAAGTGCAAATTACTTGCAGATTCTCATGTACTGGGGGACTTCAGTGGAGCTTAATGTTTCAACAACACCTTGTTACTGTGTTGGATAGCAAGGTTGCAGGCAATATCACTGTAACTGGCACAAAAAGATTGTTGCATTTGACCTTAAATTAGAATGACTGACAATTTCTGCTTCCCTCTTTCTTCCTATTCTGTATGCAGTTTCAGGTATCTGGGGTAAATTGGGATAACTTCACTTTGTCCTCTTTCAATTTTTTGTTGCATAGACAGGGACTGCTCTGCTATTTTTGTTGTTGTTTGCTTGGCCTCTATCTTAAGCTTCTGAAACTCATTCTTGATCTTTTTCCAAGCTGTTTTCAAAATGTAGTGAGCAGGATCCTCCTCCTTAATAACATTTCTTCAGTTTTTAGGAGTAGTTATCAGTTTGGATGTTTTAAATTGACTGCTAAAGAATGACTGCTATAGAAACCTGACTTTCAAATGAGGACCCTGCAGACAGTTTGTGCTGGAGCTACTTTTAAATTGCAGCTGCCGTTTTGAGCAGTGCCAGTACATGTGCTTGGTCTTTTGTTTTCCCCTCTGAATGTGTCCATACCCCCCTGCTCTGGTTTCAGCTTTGCAGGTTCTGCCTGCCCTGCCCACCTGCCAGCAGGGATGTGAATCCCCTGGTTTGTGTCCTTGTTCCCTGGGTGGCACAGGCAGTGGCTGACTGTCACAGCAGTGGCACACTGAGCACGCTGGTCACTTGCTGCCCTACAGCCAGAGTGTTCCCTGAGTTTTGGCAATAGTTTTCAGCTGTGGTGTTCATCCTGTACCCATCAAAAAGCTGGTGATAGTGCACCAGGATGAGGCCTTGATTTCAGTCTGCTGATAGTCTCTAAGTTCTCAGTTAAGAGATAATACCAGCTCAGTTCAAGAGATCCGGTTCCATTTGTTTCTGTACCTATTTAAGACACTTATTTTTCTGACTTGTATCAGTAGAGGCACCTCTACTTTTTTCCACTTCACTGACAGCACTGTCCTTGTTTAACTCCAAATAAATCTTAGTAACACGTGCAGCCCAAAGATGAGGGGTAAAAACTAATCTTTAGATTAGAAGCTATAGAAAGTGAAATGAGAAATGAACAGAAGAGAGAGGATTGTTTCCCTTTCTGTGTTGTCCAAGCAAAAGGAAACTGTCACAGAAAATTTAAATTAGTGAATGGTGATTGTGGGGAGCAGTGCTGGACTTTTTTCTTGAATTTGGGTGAAATGAAAAATTAAAACTTTCCCAGATGGTCCTAGTGAGACCAAGCAAAACATAGGCAGGTAAGAGAAGAAGCCTCCCTGTAGGATTGATTCAATACTGCTGAGATTCTTTCGCTTGCATTCAGCTTCAGTGGAAGGTGTTGGGGAGGTTGTTTTTTTTTCCTTGCCACAGCCGTGGTTAAAAGTCACAGCGAATATTTCCTGACTTGGTGAAAAGCCTGTGACCTCTCTCAGTTGTCTTGTTCATCAGAAGGCAGATAGGTAATAAAGAGTCTCCTGTGTGAGAGGAGTAAGGAGAACCTGCTGTTTTAATTTTGTTCACAGCAGTGGGCCAAACTTTGTTCTTTCAGTGCTGGCCTTGGTAATTGGCTCGATATAATACAGGAATTCAAGCCATTGCATATCTTTGGCCTTATAACTGCTAATGTCATAGCCAAGAAGAGTGCACAGTCTCCTGCAGGAGCATACAGTAAAAAAGAACAATAAGCATGTTTCAAACTATGTATGGGCAGTGGTTCTAAAGGGCCTCAGCTCAGTCCTGATGGGTTTATTTGGGTCCAAGTTGCCTGGACAAAGGATTTTGCTGGTTTAGACTCAGAGACGTTGGGGTGGGGGGTAGGGGGGGTTGATTTGGGAGACTTTCTGGACTAAATATTATGTTCATGTTTCTGATTCCTGGGAACCAGAATGAAGGCATCCACTGCTTTAGGGAGGGAATTCAGGAGTTTTCTCAAGATGAAGAGTTTGACTATAGTATGCCTTGCCTTTAGGGTATCCCATGTCCTGCTGAGCCGGGTGGCTTGCACAGGTGTATGCCAACATTTTGTTTTTCCTCTGCTCTCAGCCATGGTCAGCTAAGGCTCATTTACCTTGTTTTTTGCAGACATCCACAGTTTAGTAATAATTTTCAATGCAGTTCTAACACCTGTTAGGCACTCCTCCTTCCTTTTTTTGGAGAAGCATTTAATTATGACAGGGTTTCCCTTGGAGCACATCCTCCATTCAGTTCCCTAATTGTAGAATTCTCTGTGGGATTCTCCAGATGGGGGATAGAGGATAATCTTCTCAGAGCTCCGGAAGAAATGTGATGCCAAATTAAAGAAAATAGATCCTTTTTATTAAGCTCTTGGGTTCTTTTTACTCTTATTTTAAGGTGACCTTCTGTTAAAGAGAAATGTTGGACAAATAGCTATCCTTTTAAATAATCCTCAACAACCTTACCTGGGTTAGATTAGAAATCCTGGATGGATTTAAACTTTTTTTGCCACTCATTCTATCATCACAGAGGCAAGGAGAATGAACTTGCCTGTTTCCCTTTTGTTTCTAGTTGGTTTCATTTTCAAGCTGCAAAGCTCCAAATTAAGGAATACTGGCAGTGTGCTTGGCGTGGTGGGCAGGTATAAAGACAAAGCCCCCTCCTTTGTGGAGTGTCACAGTGTCACTTTATGGGTCACTTCACTGCATGCTGGTGTTATGGCAGTGCTGTTCCCATCCCCAGGGGTTTCCAGGCATCCTAAATGTGCTGTGCAGTGCCAGAGATGTTTGCAAACAGGGCACTTCTGGCTGTCCCATTTTGTGCCCAAATGCTGGCCATGTCTGCTTCTGCTAAATTGGCTAAATCTGGCATGTGATGGCTGAAGGGCTCCAGGGGCTGTCCCTGCAGGGTCAGTTCTGCTGGAAGGAAGGTTCCCTTGTATTTGATGCACAAATTAATTCTCTATGAGCTCCTGCATTAGAAGATGATACTGATATTTTTATACCGTGAATGAAGAAATTAAAGCACAAAGAAACAACTTCAGTCCTGTACTGAGTTGGTGGCAGTGCCAGGAGTCTGGAAGTGACAGGCTCTGGTCCCTTGTTCTAATCATTGCCTCTCTTTAAGATTTTGTGTGCATTTAAGTCTCTAGGGAACATTTTCTTTAGCAGTAAGGGTACGGGCATTTGCACTGGAGGGAAGGAACGTCTTGTCAGCAAGGTTATAGATTTTATTGTATGTAGTTGGTTGGCTTTGCAGTATGATGTGCCAGTGGGGATGTGTACAGCTTGCTGCAGTTGAACTTCAGTGCTCAGAGGTCAAAGGTGGCTAATCCAATTTTTTTTTTTATTTTCCAGGTCTACGCACAATGAACTAGAAAAGAACCGGTAAGTAGCTAATGAGCTGAATTCTAAAAAATGTAAGCCTGGTGAGTGTAATGTGCTTTGACCTTACTCATGCAGGTGCTGTTTGATCAGCTTAGACAGCTGTGAGTGACCACACTGCATCATGTAGTTTTCAAAGTTGGGGGGAAGACACAAAAAGATCTGAAAAAGAAGCTTTGTTTTTGGTTGGGTTTTTTTTCTCTCTCTCTGAAAAGGCAAGAAGTGACCCAGTTTTGTGACTAATCTGTATGCAGAGTAAATACTGTTCTTCTCCTGACACAGTGAAATCTGATTGGGGCACTTTCCATACATGAGGTTGCTACGGGATCAGGTTTCTTGGGCGCTGGGTACTATGTGTTACCATGAAGCGAAGGGCAGAGCCCTGTGCTGTGCACCCTCTCCCCCCACCCTGCACTGGGCTGTCACAGTCTCTGTAGCACAGAAGAAAATACCATTGTCCAGAGGCTTGGAGTCCTGGCTACCTGTGCTCCTGCAGAGACTCTCCTAACCTGTTCTAGGGTTGCGCCTGTTTATCCTTGAATCTGATGTTTTAGCAAGCCCTGCAGTTTTGTTACTTGGCTGGCTCTTCTAAATGACTCAACCCTTTTGTAACAGGAGTTAAAGTAAGATAAATACCGTTGAGACAAGGGGAGCTAGTTCACACACAGATCAGATTATCGCCTTCCATTCAGGATGCTATAGTTAAGGTTGTGTCAGGGTTTCCATTATAAACTTATCTTGGCTCTTCTGTGGGATTTTAGGGGGGCTGAGGGTGGGTGTCTGTGTTTTCTGTGGCTGCTGTAACAAAGGCAGTGCTTTGGCCAGCTGCTCCTATGAAGAAACCCCCAGGGTGGGATGGAAAGCTGAGTCTAAATAGGTTGATTGCCTCCTCTTCTCTCTTAGCAGCCATCATGTAACAAGGCATGGGAGGACTGTGAGGATGGCCAAAGACACACAGAGCCTTTGAGCCAAGTGTGTATTTTCGTTCAGACAAGGTCTTCCCCTGTGGCTTCAAGGGAATTGGAGCTGAGTACCTCATGAATTGTGTTGCCTCAGTTTCCCCCACATCTGCCTCCCCCTAGCAGCAGCAATGCTGGGAAGCAGCTTGGCCTTTGCACGGTGTGGGTGTTTTCTTCCAGCCTGTGCTTCTCCCTCCTGGTGTTTTTGAGTATCTACAGAACTGTCATGGTCTTACCTCTCTGGGTTGATGCAGGGAAGGTTTTTTATTTGGGTTGTGTTGCTCCCTGAGCTTCAGCCTTTCCAGTCCCTGCTGAGCTGTGTTGAGGAGTGTTGGCTCCTGGGTTTTCCAGTGCTCTCTCTGGTTCTGTTTACCAGTGAGGGAAAGAAAATGCAGTCCTTGGGTCTGACCCAGAACTGAAGGTGCTTTTTTCTCCATGACAACAGTAAACCGTCACTAATCTTCAGTGTGCTTATTTGCATATCTAATTGTTACTGCAAATGCTGCTTTTACTCAGTGCAGCTTTAGAACAGAGCTGTTTCCATCTTTCCCTGGACCAGCCTGGTCCTATCACATTGGCCAAGTTTGCATGGATATGTGATCATCTTCTTCTAGCCTGAGGGCAGGCAGCAAAACTTCAAATTCTTAGCAGCCAGTGTTACATACTTACTGTCCAGCTAAGGACTCTGTCAACTGATGGGATTGGGATGTGCTGGGTGCCAGTTGTCTGTGTGAGTTGAGGAAGTTCCTGCCTTAATTCCCTGTCTTGAACTGAGGACAGTTACATTCTCTGAGGTGGGGATACCAGAAGGATTAACTATTGACTAGCATGTCAGGAAGTGTTACTTGTGAGAGGAGTGTTATTACTTGAGCTTCCCCTTATGCCTCCTTTTCCTCAATATTGACAAGGTGTTTGCTTGTTGCAGAATTTGTCCTTCCATTTTCAGTTGGTGTAATATCTCTCTCTTCCTCTCCTTTTGTCTGTTATTCTCCTTAGTCCCCACCTGCTCCAGGCTGAAGATTCCTAACCATCAGCCTTCTCAGCAAGGTCTTTCCTCCAGGGCTTCCCATGCCGGGGCACTGTATTCCAGGTCTGTCTCAGACATGGTTTTACAAGCCTTTGGTTTTCATCCTTCTGGGAAGGGCACACATTTGATCATGTTGGGTGCTCTGTACAGACAAGCTCCTGTATCTGGGAACTTTGCTCAGGAGTCTGATGCTCCTGGTTTGGGATTGTCTGTCCCTTGATGCAGATGCTGTGGCTTGATCAGCTCATCCCATCTGCAAACCCAGCTGGATGCTGTGGTGCCTTTGCTGTGTTTGCAGTGTTCATTACCAGTGATTTGGGCAGCGAGTTGCATACTGGAAGCGTTTATTTTCAAACTCCACAGCAGTGTTTTCTGAGTGAGGGGGATTGCTTCCTGTGTTCCCCAGCTCCTTTTTTTATTTGCTGTGTTGTTGAGTTTGTCAGTGTCTCCAGACTTAACTGTTGTAAATATAAAAGCCCTGATACTAATGGCTTTGTGGCTGACAGGTGCTCATTTTCCCTATTATTTGAGATTATTCCTTCTGAATCTCACTGTTATCTCTATTATTGACACACACTATAATTTTCAAAATTGTCCACTATTAGGTCTCTGACTCTGTTTTTTTTCTCTTCTTGTCTGTGAACAGCGGTCTTCTTATGTTCAGTTAAATTTTGGTTTAACCCATTCAACAATTACACAGTTTGTTTTAAGCAGTAGCAAGAGAATATTAGTAAAACAAAATGCTTTTCTCCTTTCTGAATATGTGATTTAACTTGGACTCAGTATTGCAGAGCTGATGATGTTTTAATGTGTACCACTTTAATGTAGAAACCCCCCTAAAAATTTGTTTTAAAAAAATTAAAGCAATTTTTTAAGGTTTACTGCTTGAAAATCTTTTGCTCCAGAACACTCCACTGGTTCTGCTAAAAAGCTGTTTGATTTGGTACCAAACATTTGCTGTAATATTTAAATGATTCCTCTTCTGGCTTTGATTTGGGTTTTTTAATTTGAAAAGATTGCAGTGACATTTATATAAGGGACTTCGTTTGTTGTAAAAGATTAAAGTTAATTGATACTTATTATCTGTCATTAATCCTCACACTGAAAAATTTTATTTAATGGGTATGTGTTTCAGTTTATCTCTGCTCAGGATGAGTCATAGCTTGCACTTAAACAAGAAACCAGCATTCTTCTCATCTGCTGCAATATGTAACTAAAATGATATTTTTTAGTCCTTTAACATGCCTACTAAAAAACCTGATGTGTAAGCAACACTCTGCATTGTTTCCTGAAAGAAAACAAGATAAAGTGTGTGACTGAAAGATGAAGTTTACAAGTGTAATATTTTCTCAAAAAGGATAACAACTGAAATCCAGGTTAAAGGTAAATGTTGTGTGTTATACAGATAGTGGTGTTAGCTGTTGTCTGTGAACATTTTAGACACATGCCCGTGCTAGGAGGATGTGGTCAGTGTGGTCTTAGGGGGAGACACGCAGCTCTGAGGTGACATCCTGCTGCTCTGTGAAGTGGCAGTTCTGGTAGACCAATACAGCAGTGATGTCTGTCAGAAATGTTACATCTCCTGACAGAGCAAGAAAGTTTTGTAATGCTGTTGATCAGATTTAAAAAATAAAAAATAAAAACAAACAAAAAAACCCCTCAGCATTTTTCTGTAGATCATACATTGTTCTATTAGGTTTTGATGATGATTGCTTTGTAATGCAGCAGAAGGAAGGAAAACAAAGCTGAGTAATTGGGTAAAGAATGAGTTATGAGAGCATACTTTTCTTATGGTAACAATAATTCAGTTCAAACAAAAGATAGATCAAGGAGGTAAAGAGGCCTCAGGATCACTGAAAATAGAATTTTCTGAAGGTCTTGCAGAATTTGTGGCTTTGCAAAAGTACATAATTTAGAAAGAAAAAGGAAAAAGTCTAAAGGAGACAAACTTCTAAACCAAGTTGCTAAAAGTTTGTTGCATGTAAAAGCACAGAGTGAAGCGGTGTAACATCCTTTCTCTCTGATATCTTTTGACATGATCAGAAGCAAAGACACACACATAGCAAGGATCAAGTACTGTGGTTTTTAGCCTGACTCTTACCAGAATTCCCCATCTTGTGGCTCCTCACCCATTCTTTCTTTGATGTGAGTGACTGTTTATTGCAGAGTGGTTTTCCAAGGCGGTTTCTCACCCAGAGCTGACTGTTGTGCTCAGTTGCCTATCTGAGGTAGTGGATTAGATTAAAAAAAACCCTACTGAAAGTTGAGGAGAGAGCAGTGACCTGGGTCAGTTTGCACTGAAACATGGGGGCCTTTTGAGGCTCTGCAGCATTTGCACCGTTTGGTTCTGTTTCTTTAGAATAAGGGCTTTGAGAGTGTCTTAGGAAAAGCTTTTAAGGTAGAGCTTTTAAATAGTGCAGACAAGCTGTCTAGGCTGGGAAAGATAGAAGGAAGGGAAATGAAAGTATGGTGAATCCTTGCTACTCTGAATAGACAAGGATGATTGTGCTTTTGTAGTGCTATATATACTTGCCAAGGCAATCTGATCAGTGTTTGTCTTGAACCAGCTAATCAACGTGGTGTTGAGTTCAGTGCTATTTATCAGGAGAGCTGGAACGAGAAACTAATCCAGTAAATTTCATTTGTTCTCCGGAGTGAGCTTTGTTTTCATGCTAACTTCATGTAGCAAACGTTGACAGTACATATTGTTTTCCTCATTAATAAAACTTGGAACCTGTGATGTTTCTTGCAGCAGTCAGACTATATCCAACACAGCTGAGCATGCATCTTTCTTTGACACATCCAAAGGTCAGAGCATGCACTGATCCAGCTTGCTCCTTGTGGGAACTGTAGCTAAACTCTCCTGTCTCCAAGGCCAGAGTGGAACAAGAGCTGGAGGTAGTTAGCTGTCTTCAGCTCTGTTGTTTGGATGACAGATGCCTCTGTTTTCAGCTGGGACTAACAATTTTCAACAGAGCTGCAGCATGTTTCTCTGTTTTAGGAGATCTGGATAACTT